ACACATGCACACTCACACACACACACACACACATGCACACGGTGCAGACTGCTTGTGTTACACTTTGATGCACAGAGGAGGCTTTCACACTTGAGGTGTTTGTCCGTATATATTCATGTGCGCACACTCACACACACACACGCACACACACACACACACATAGATGAGGTCTGAGGTCGCCAGGCTGTCACAGACCTTTCTCCTGCATGAGCATTAAGATCAGTCATCAGTTTTCATGTGCAGCTGAAGTGAAGGAGAAGTCAGAGACGTGTGCATTTTTTAATCTTGTCTGTGTGTTTAGATGGTGACCCGCCAACAGACTGCATTAGCTTTAAGCTAACTTCTGGTACAATACATCCAGTGGTGACATTTTATATTGAAAACATTTGACTGTTTGAGCTCCGAGCATCATTGATGTAACTTTTGGTACATACTGCAGCCAAACGTACAAAGTAAATACTGTTGCATGTATTCAATTGGGACAAACTCCTCCATCATAACATGGCACCTTGAACTTGGACCCTCCTGCTCATATACCCGCTGCACAAAGGAACACTAAAGCATGCTGGCTTGCATACTGTAGAATGCAACTAGATGCATTTGGACATTTAGCATACTATTTGATGTATTAGGTGTTGGGACACAGTCAATCGTTTTCTGGCAGACTAAACAGGATGGTTGTTTGGGTGTTGGAGCACACAGCTTGTTTAGTCACAGTTCATTAAGCTTTCATTGTCTTTTAATGACTCTAATCACATCGACTTTACAATGAATACTATCACACTGTATGTGTATTAAAACCAGAAGAGTCAGAGTGAGTGAACACATCCATATACGTTTCTCTCAAACTGAATTTATCCTGCTGACATGTATATCTTGTAACCGTGTTATTTAAAAATGAAATATCGATATCATGCTAATAATTCACATATGATAATACCGTGTAGTTGTAGCATTTGAGGTTTTTTTAAACAAGGTGTTCTTATTACCAGCCTACGCTTGATTTCTTCTTCTTTTATTGTAATCATGTGACATATGACTTATGAAATGAAACCTTAACTTTGTGTTTTTGTTTCCCCCACGTCCTGAACAAAGATCCAATAACCTTTTCTAATCCACCAGAACAGCTGGACGTCCGGACCAAGATAGTTCTCGCCGGCCTCTGCACACGTCAGCACCGACGATACGATCACACCTGGGACGTGTCTGGTCTCGATCCCTCCTCTCACGCCTTCGATATTAGTCTGAGCGCCAAGATGTATCGGACAGGAGACGATCAATAAGGCGAGAGGGAGTGTAGGCTATCGCGTGATAAGAAATGCAATTTTCTTACAATACTGAAAGTATGGAAACGGCTGAAATTCTTTTTTTACGAGAGATGTACGTTTTCATTAACGTGTAATTTCTGCTGAACGTGGAGGCTGTTTATCAGCGTCAGGGCAGATACAAGGCCCACGGTGTTTGGCTTATGTTCAGAGGCCATATTGGCATGTGTGTGGTGCTGCTATCTGTTGTCTGCGTTTATCTGTTCCAATTTTTAATAAACTTTTTGACAGTAAAGCATTGACCTCTAAAGAAGTTACTAATGAATACATTTAGGGTTTATGATGCATTTGTGAAATGTCAGCAGCACCAAGCTCCAGGCTTTCTGACTGACCTTTTATTATAAGAGGGTTACATGTAGGCCTACCATTGAGAGGTGGAGGTGGGTCAAGCTGTGACATCTCCAGTTACGGATAACTTTTCAGATAACTGAAATAAATAGAAAAAAAAATAAATAGAAAAAAAAGGAAAGCTGCCTCATTGAGGATGCAGCACTTAAGTGGCACTCATGCTATATGGAGACATTTTTGTCCAAAGAGCTGCAACTCATGCAGATGTGAATACTTCCTCCCCCAATGGTGAAAGTATATTTTGAGAGAACTCATTTGCTAAAGTGGACATTATGTCAGAGTCCGCTCCGCTAAACGATAATGTACAGAACTACCAGAAAGGACACAATGGGCAGCATCTGATTGGATGGAGCCTGATGACGCTTCATCACCAGTACTTCATGGCTTCTGCTTTTCAACCAGACCTCTCAGGGCTAAATGAAAAGCTACCGAATCCCTCAAGTGGCCGGCATCTCTGCAAATCCGCCCACAAGCCAAATAAAACTCCCTACGCATGTCGCAGGAAATAGTTTTAATTAGCGCTCAAACGGAATAGTCTGTCTCAAATTAGTCAACGTAATGTGAGTCTGTGAGTAAAGATATAAACGTTGCTTGTATTTGAATATAATGGAGAAATCAGGCCACAAATTAGGTATTTTATTTTGACCTTGTGAGAAAATCATGAGTTTCTAAAAACAAAACCACCAAGAGTTAGGTTCAGGCAACAAAACCACAAACAGTTAGGTTCAGGCAACA